CTGAAGGTCCACCTGATGGAAAGTGGTAACCGTCGCCTATAGACATAAGCAGTACTATGGACATAACAGAGTATACTGTTTCGCCCATGATACCCCCCATGTGTTGCCATTCCTGAGGACTCAGGTGTTATTCCTCTGTACCCAGTAAATTCACGTCATATCTCACCCTTCAAACCGAAACATGGCCATGCAAACACAGTTGCTTCACGGTTGAAACACGAATGGGACAAAGGTACCCAAGCAATCGACTTTTGTACAAAGTCTCCCTCTGGTATTAAGTTCTAATAAAATATACTACATCATACATCCTATTATATCAGGAAGCTCATCTTTGTATATTGGAAATGAAATGGATGCGTACAGTGCGGTTTCGTAGGAGTTTCATCCCACGTGCGCTCGGCATGTAAGGCGAGCTTTTTACCGAGGGATTTCTTAGTAAAGCGTGTAATTCATTAAATAAAGGTCGGGTGTGAAAGGTTTCCTGTAAGGTGACTCCCATGGAATAGTTGGCCTCTATAGACAACGGTCATCAAAAGAGCTTATTTGTTTTTATAGTTTAAATCTATAGCACAGTGTATATATTACTTTATAGTAGGATTAATAGTGGGGGAAAGGGATTGTTAGTAATGGAATCTAATTGACACATTGCTAGCAATACACACAATCAGGTCGACCTCTACCATTCCATTATTACCCAATAATAAAAAAGTAGAATTAATAGTATAATTTGAACAGTATAATATAATAATAATAATAATATAGCAAGAAGCAAGAGAGAATTATTTAATATAGCCACTTTCTACTCCTTTTTCAAACAGACCTCATCTTCTCTCACTTGTGTCCAAAAAAATTACTGAAATGTATTGATTTGAGAGATAAAAATAACTATTTTTTGCCTCGTTTAGTATAACTTGAAAATTTTCTTTATAGAACATTTTAAGGACAATGAATGTCTACGCCATTCTTATGAATATTACGCCATTCATAAGAATGGCGTAGACATTCATTGTCTTTACTACATAAACTGATTAAGTATGTAGCCACGCAAATGTACGAGTATACTCAGATAAATTACTAATCCAATATAAATGTACTGAGCGTGGTGTGCTCCCTTTTCGAACCATCATATTTATGTCAAGTTTTGAGAAATAATCTTAAAATATTCATACTGGATATAAATAACAACCGTAGGTAAATTCCAGGAAATTCTTCCCCTTTAATTTATATTATTATTATACTGAAATAACGCAATCTATTTGCGTTGCCTAAATAGTTATAGATTTTTTTTCATAGCGGAACAAAAGAGCTAGACAGAGATTAGCGATTCAAATATTAAGTACTAGTTATATTCCTCGGCTTCGCTCGTGATTCTTCTCCAAGAAAAGAGTTATCAAATGCGATAACATTTTTTTTAAATCCTTCTAGTGTTTCCAGAGATTATCGTGTTCAAACAAACTCCGTATTATTATTAAATTTATTATTTATTATTAATTACAATGAGAAACAAGCTGACAACCCATCTGATGGGAAGTATTAACCGTCGTCTATAAATATTTCAATACCACGGACATAATATAATATACTGTTTCGCCTATGATGTCCGTCATGCGTTGCCATTCCTAAGGTGTTATTCCTCTGTACACTGTAAATTCACTGCCATATCAATGCTCTTCAAACCGAAACACAGCCATGTAAACACAATTGCTTTACGGCAGAAACACGAATATGACAGAGGTTGATTGGGTAATGACTTTTGTATAAAGTCTTTATTATAAAACTCTCAGGTAAAATTCCAGGCATTTACAAGTTACAATACAAGTGAAAACTATATTAGTATAGATATAAAAAATCCAGGCAATTTTAACAATACAAGTGAAAACTATATTAGTATAGACATAAAAGTTCCAGGCATTTCTGACAATATAAGTGAAAACTATATTAGTGTAGACAAAAATTCCAGGCAATTCTAACAATACAAGTGAAAATTACGTTAATATAGACATAAAAATTCCAAGCAATTCTAACAATACAAGTGAAAATTACATTAATATAGACATAAAAAATCCAGGCAATTTTAACAATACAAGTGAAAATTACATTAATATAGACATAAAAATTCCAAGCAATTCTGACAATACAAGGGAACAGTATATTTAAAGTTATTGTTTTCAATAACATACCAGTGGAACTTGATAAAACTTTCACACGATACGAAATTCATAAGCGTGAAAATGCCGATGGGTCTGTTTTCCATCCTGGAGGAACATTGACGTGATATACATATATACATAATATTATATATCCACGTACACTTTTAGACTTGAAACTTTCCTACCGCGAGTCCTCTGGCTATACTTATTGTATATTCATTTAATTTATTTCAATAGTCGAACTATTATTGTGGTTTTATACGACTAGGTATGTTGAACCGCTATTCTTCAAAGGTGATCATACAATAAATGAAAGTAAAACATACATGACTATCCTCGTTAAAGAAACATCAATCAAATTGAATTAGTCTCTCTGCAGAAAGTATTTGCTGAAGTGTCAAGAGTACTCGAAGTCGACGAGCTTTCGTCGGAACATGTTCTTCAATATTATGACTTTTGGAGAAGTAAATTAAGAGTTTTTGAGCAGAAATATGTGTATGTAAGTATAGAATATATTATATTTTGTAAATATATCAAAAGGCATAAGGTTGTTAAAATTATAACTTTTTTACAATATATATACTAACGAATTTATATCCAGAAATTTGTTAATATATACTTATATATTTTTTTACCTTAATTTTTTTATACAACTTAGAATGGCAAACTAGCTGATGGCCCACCTGATGGAAAGTGGTAACCGTCGCCTATAGACATGAGCAGTACCATGGACATAACAGAGTATACTGTTTCGCCCATGCGCATGCAACGCATGGGGGGTATCCCCATGCGTTGCCATTCCAGAGATGAATATGTAATGGAAGAGCCAGAAAGGAAAAGCAGCAAAATTCTTAGTCGGCCTCATGACTTTGAGATTCAGATTCCTTGTTTAGCATAAATGCTTAGGTTTTCGTTGGGCCAAAGGTAAAGTATTTTATAATTTGGCTTCTAACAAACGGCGTGCTCACAGCGATTACGTATGTAACAAACAAATAACCACAATAGTCGCATTATTATTAGCTAATTAGTAATATTAACAATTAGACTACGCCCTTGTGGTGTTTATTACAATCAGTAGACTAATTGATGATGCGTTGGAATTGGGACCAAATTTAAATCACGTCAAATAAAGTGCCAATAATAATGGTAATATTCATTTGATGTTAATTATGATTTCTGTTCCCAATTTTATTGCGCCAAAAATTTGCTTGCAATACTGATTATGACTTTTTTTATGGGTGAAAATGGGGTGGTAACCTCCCAAACACAACTACCGAGTGATGATAGATGAGAATGAATTAGGCCAGTCGGTTTATTGTGATGAATTCACAAGGAATTCACGACGATGGTTTCTAAGATAGACCGCATGAAAGTCAACCTGATCTTAGGTTATATATACTTTAAATTAACTATTATGTAGAGTATTAAATCTTGACCATTAGGAATATCACTTTTTTATCTGGAAAATTAACTAATGCATGCTGCCAATTGTGTCCTACGGAACCGAAATGCCCGGAGTTTCTTTTGCATGATAAAATAAAAAATGAGAATATCCGCAAAGGAACTAAAGTGACCGACATAGCCCAAAGGATAAACAAGGTGAAGTGTCAATGGGCTGGTTTGTTATAAAGCTCGAAGAACCGACAACCGATGGGGAAGAAAGATTCTTAAAAAAACGTGGTGGTTCCAAACTAAATGTAATCACCTCAAATGCATTGTAGAGAGTCAGTGGAAGCAGTTGGCTCGGGACCGTCTCTTATGGTAGTCTATGGAGGTGGTCTATGTTCACCAGTAGACAGATAACGACTGATATGATGATGACGATCTAGAAAATGTTGGTAGTTCTGCTCTCGTGGATTGTACAAAAGTCGATTGCTTGGGTACCTCTGTCCCACTCGTGTTTCATCGCTTGGTTTCTGTAATTTGGCAACACCAATTAGTGTGGCCGCTTTCGTGTCGGAGGCCAACGGTCTACCCCTAGTTCCATCTATCTTCGACTTGTCGCAGTCGCCTCTAGATGAGTAATGTGTGTTGTTTATTGCGAACTACTTGGAGATTTATTACTTTTCTTTTACTAATACTTATATGGTTTTCTCATTGCGATTGGGGATGTAAAAGAATTCAATTTTTATTGCATACTTTCGGCCCAGCTGTCCAAGCTGGGTCGAAAGTATGCAATAACAAAAATAATTTATTAAAAAAATATCCAGGGTGCTCTGCAGCTCTCTCAGTTTTTGGTTGCTATGTAGATTCCGGTATAGAATGGGCCACCCCTTCATTTCCTATTGGTGTCATAAGAGGCGACTAAGGAAACTTATGGTCGAGGGATGGGCAGCATCGGTTACCAACCCGTCAAGTGTGGCAACTACTGGCAAAACCCCCAACTATGAAAGAGGCGTATGTCCAGAAGTGGAGGGATAATGGCTAAGATGATGATAATGAGTCAGGTTGTTGTTGCCAGATGGAGCATTTGTTTTATTTATAAAGTATGTGTATCGCTGTCGAATTAATAAAATATATACCCAAAGTAATTGTTGCGAACTCCTTAGTTATTTTTAAAGGTTTTTATTTTTATTGTATTTTTATACTTTTGTTTCCACCAATTGTCACTTTTGCTCTTTGCTGTCGTAGTCTATATTTCGTAGTTTTCTGTATTATAGTTATTTTCCTTTTAAACCCATTGTTTGATTACAACATATACATCAATATACAGTCCATAATATCGCCCACATTTTTGGTCCTTCTTCGGTAAACAATCACACCTTACATTTTCATTCCGTATTTAGTTTCGTACGTAGTAGTGTTCATACAAAGCAGTATTGTATAGTTCATTTAATGATCACGCGTAGTAAAGGTAAAATCATGTCATCGCATAACGTCTCTTCTACTACATCTCACGCCGAGCCGTCTCATGTAGGCTTAGATAGAGTCTGTGCAGATGAAGGTGATCAAGCTCGCAGCTTGCTATCCGCGCAGTCGAAATCTCGTGTTTCGTCTTTGAGCGTGAAGGCGCGGATGGCTGCTGCTGAAGCTGTCCACAAGCGTCGCCAGTATGAACGTGAGGCCGCACTCGCACGACATCTTGCGGAAGTCGAAGATGCTGAATACCGTGCCGAGCTGGAGCAAATTAGTGCTGAAGCGGACTCCAAAGGTAGCAGGCGAAGTAGGAGCACCTCTACTCGTATGACCAGAACGGAACAATGGGTAAAAAATAATTGTAATATTGAAATACACGACACTAGAGATGAACGTCATGAGGTCTCACAGCCTAGTTATTCGGCCTTCGCGCCAGTAACTCCTCAGGCTGCTGCTCCACAATTAGCAGCACATCTCACCAATTCAACACGCGCAGGTTCTGTTTCTCATGTACCAGTACAGGCGAGTGTATCGCCACCCTTTCTGGTACATCCCGTAGTGACCACGTGACCGTTGGTAACAATGATGTTAATTCTCAGTTATTTTTACAAATTACGGCCAACATGGCAGACGCAGCGAAAGCCTTAGCCACAGCTCACAACATGCCTAAACATTCTAATATAGAGTTGTTCCCATTTACAGGCAGTGCATTACTGTGGTTACAATTCAAAAAAATATTTGCTAGTACTAAATCATTTTATTCCCTTGTAGAGAACGTTGCGCGTTTACAAAATGCGCTTCGTGGACCCGCACGAGAAGCCGTCGCTTCGCTTCTCGTCTCTGCAGAGGATCCTGAAGAGATCATGTGCGCACTCGAACGAAGTTTTGCGTCACCAGAAATGATTGTTTTCAGTGAGGTACAATTATTGAAGTCGCTACCTCGATTAGGTAACGATCTTAAAGAGTTAAGTACTATTGCTAATAAGGTACGGAATAGTCTTTCTACTATAAAACTACTCAATCATAGTGAATATTTACATTCACCAGAATTATTTCATGTCATTTTAGGAAAATTGAACCCTAACACTAAAATGAGATGGAGTGATTATGCATCAGAATTTAGTAGGTCGAACCCACACCTTTCTAAGCTGGAAGTTTTTTCACAATTTTTGACACGTGAACACGAGCGTCATACTAACTTCGCTTTATCTCCTGAATTGGCTCTCTCTTTAGCAACACAACAATTGCACGTAGGTCAAGTTGCTAATAAACAATTCAGACGTGAAATTATTCATTCTACTTCTCACTCTAAAATTAAAACAAATTCTAAGATAGGATGTGTTTATTGTAAAAATAATCATAACATTAAATATTGTGATAAATTTAAATCCTTGTCAGTCGATGAAAGATGGAGTTGGTTGCGAGAGTTCAAGGTTTGCTACAGATGTCTACGTCGCTCATCACATCTATGGAAGACGTGTAAGGTAAAACCTTGTGGTATTAATGGCTGCTCCTTTCGGCATCATCCTCTACTTCATGGTAGACAGGATACGTCAATGTCACCACCTGCACCTGATACACTGCACATAAATGACACAGTGTGTGCCACTGTGAGTCAAGGCGTATCCTCACCTTCTACCACTGCACCTTTGGAGGATAAGGTTATTATTAGTAATACCGGCGTATGGCAAACTGAACATTCTCCGTCAACATCTAATGTTTTATTAAAAGTGTTACCTATTACTA